AGCAGGAAGAGGTAGGTAGTCTTCCCTGAGCAGTTCTCTGGGCAGAAAATGAGTGCTCAGGAGATGGTTTTATCTTGTCCAACGCATGACCATGAAGCAAGGGGACTGGTTTTCAGGTGTGTGGCAGATGGATAAGGGACTCGGCAGGCACTGAAGTGGAGTCTGTGTTCATTTTAGGACTCTACTTTGCTGTTGCCTGTTTGCTTTCTTTTGAGTATCTCCTGAAGACGGGAGATAATTTAGCTTCCCTCCAATAATGATGCCGGCATTAATCCTAGGAGGAAAACTCATTTCCAAAGTAAATTGGTTTGCTATAGCAAATGTACCAGGGCAGAAAGTTGCTCTTGTCCTTTGGAAAGGATCAGTGATCCCAAGGTTTACTCTGATACCAGTTGTTAGGGCCACTCTTAATTTTTTATGACATTCATTATATTCTAAAGCTTTTTTCATGAAGTAAATGCAATATGACCTGCTGGAAACCACAAAGACAAAAACCGATCTGAAAATTTCTCCACTTCCCTTGTCTCTACCTTCTGCTTGGGAGCTGTTATTGTCCCACCTCTGAGCAGGACCTGCTCTTGCTATGGGCCTTCCCAGGATAGGTGAGAAACTGAAGTCTGCCTATGAGAAGATGTCATCCATTCCATCGCTAGGTCCTTCTTCAGCCCTAGTCTCTTTCTAGCCTTCTCTCCCTTGCTAGCATTTTGATTGGTGACCTCCACCTCCCATTCACTCCCTTTCTCACCTCCCACCCTTCAGACATTCCTCATCTGGTCACTTTGTGTTCCCTTGGTGTCAGCACTGGGCTCTAAGGTGCAAGAGCATCGTATGCCCCAAACATCTGGTCTCAGAAAGCTCTGTTGAGGGCTAGAGGCTTGAGAAACTGTCAGAATTCACAGTGGATCATCAAATGGATCATGAGTCCACAGGGCTGGCTCCTAGGCACCTGTTCATTGAGGTTTAAAACAAGCAACGTCAACACAGAAAGACAAGATTCTGAATATGCACGTCATTGCTTCAACCGTACTAAACATCGCCACTCTGGTCCAGCCTTGGATAGACCCTCATGTGAGTTCCTAGACATCCCACTAAGTGTTGGATGGGTTTTCAGGGTGCTCCATAAGGCATGTGTCCTTCCAAGAACGCAGCCCCCAGAGCTCTCCATGTCAGATGTGGTCTGGCCAGGAGATTGCCACTGTCTAATGCTACCCCTGTATCATGGACACTATCTGTCTGTCCATTCTCTCTCTCTCTCTCTCTCTCTCTCTCTCTCTCTCTCTCTCTCTCTCTCTCTCTCTCTCTCTCATCTCTGTCTTTCTGTCTCAGTGTCTGTGTCTCTGTCTCTTTTTGTTCTCTCTCCTGTTTTTGTCTGTCTTCCTTCCTCTCTCTCTCTTGTCTCCATCTCTTTGTCTTTCTCTCTGTCTCTTCCTCTCTTTCTATGCTCTCTCTCCTCTTTCTCTCTCTGTTTCTCTCTTCCTCTCTCTGTTTCTATGTCTCTGTCTCTGTGTCTACCTCTCTGTATTTGTCTCTGCCTCTGGATTCAGCCCAAAGGCCCCTCCTTTTCTGGGCTGCCATATTGCACTTGGCTCCTATAGAATTTGCAGTCCACTAAAGTCCTCCAGCCTGTCAGGTGAACTGCAGCTCACATATCCTACACCATCCTGTCTTGGGGATGTGGCTTTATCTTCACATAAGTAGATTTGACTTCTGGCTAATGTACTCTGCGATCCCACACCCCTCTGACCATCCTATCCTGCTCCCTTCAGGTAGCTAACCTGTAGGGCTGTCACTCCCAAGATTGTTTCCAGGATCCAGTGAGATAGTGAGCTAAAAAGCATTTATTAAGGGCTTGTTCACTGCAGTGCTCAGCCCCTGGGATACAAAGAAAGGCAAAACCCTAGTCTCTGGCTCCAGGAGTTCCCAGTCTAATGCCAGTAACTAAGCACGTCCAGTATGTGTGTAGTGCAAAGGAAGGAGGCCCTGGGTTCAGTAGGGCCCTTGGTGGCCTCCTAACATGGGTGAGCTGGGAGCAGAGTCTTGAAGGAGACCAGGGAAGGTGGAGGCTTTGGTGGAGAAGGATTTCCCAAGCAGCTTGGGAATCTGAAAGGGGCCCAGCCCCACTTTTAGGATGGTCATTTCATTACCTGGACAGTGGCATTTGATCCTTCAGGCCTGACCACAAAGCCCCCAGCCTGGGGCCCCTATCTCCAGCATGGTCTTTTCTATAAGACCCAGTGGGGGCCACTTGGGTGTTCTGTATACCTGCCCAGGTGGGGTACTCACCTTCAAACTTTGAGGCCCCCTTAATGTAAGCCCAGCTCAAGGGCCCTGCCTTTATCCTCTGGCACCTTGAATTTCAGGTTAGGTACCTGGGGACTCATCCCCTCAAGCTTCATTCCTCCCCTCCCTGCTCCAGCTACCAGTTCGGTTAGACCTTGCCTGAATGTGATGAGACCTTACTTGCTATGATGGACAACGTAGTCATGTCTGAGAGAGCTTCTTTTGGATTCCAAGAGTGAAGTGTTAGCAACCTGTTAGGGTACTCTTTGAGAGCCTTGGGGCAGCTTTGGATAACCTCCTATAGATGATAGGGGAAGTAAGTAAGGTTCCAGTCATCACTGCTGTCATTCAGGAGCCCAGCGGGCAGCAAGGGCCTGTCAGGAGCGGCAGGAGGGGTCTAGGTTGCTTTGAGGTCAGTAAACTCATACAGAACCTTCAAACAAGGGGACCCTGAGTCCTCTGATAGCTCTCTCAGCAAGTGGCCATCTCTCAGCGAGCAGAGTCTCTGTCAATCTAAGATGCTCCTAGACAAGTAAGGAATCTAAGGAGAACCTCATAGCCTAGTTCCAGGCTCCTGAGAGCAGCATCAACCTTTTGAGAATGCTGATTCAGCCAAAAACAACCTCCTCCAAGATGCCCACCTCCATAGTCCCTGCTTACAGAAACATCTGAGTTTCTGGATTACTTGGCAGGCCCTAGGAATGTTCTTTAGTATGTGATCAAAATCTAAGTGTTCTTCTGCCCAGAGGGTGGTCAGATCTTCCTAGGGAGCACAGAAAAGGAGACAGACATTCAACAAAACCCAGAGAACTTTTCAGGCTGTGGCAACCCCAGAGTACTGCTTCACCTCAAGACTTCCCTGACCTCCATGGGTGCTATTGGATCAAACCTAGAGAGGCTGGTCCTGGTAACCTGGTGTTATCAGGAGGACAGGTGGGCAGCTCCTGCTTTCACCTCACCTTGATGTGGACAGTGGTGTCCCTTTGGAAGTCCTCCTTCAGGGAGGCTTGCTATCAGGTCACCAGGCCCTCCAGGACAGCCAAATTGTCCTCGTGGCTCTACTCCCATTCCCCGTCATATATATGTCTTCCCACTGCAGCCCCTTTATTTTTCTGTTTAGGTCACTCAGTCACCCTTTTCCACACTGGTGCCTCAGGGATTTTTTTTTATGACTTTCTTCTGTATTATTATTATTATTATTAATTAGGCAAAGCCTAAAAGGAAATTGGTCTCAAGGACTGTGAAGTCAGTTGGAACAGTGGATATTTGATTATGACAGGCCTGGGGGAGGCCTCACTAACCTGATTAAGACAAAGAGGTCCTGCAGGGAGGCAGCTGTGGTCAGGTGGTACCAGGTATTTCTGAAGCAGCAGTGGAACAGGTGAAAGAGCCAACCTGTAAACGTCCCAGCAGAGGGATTCAGAGACTTCACCCTGCAAGTCTGTCATGTCCCAGAGCTAGCCTGCTCCCAGCCTGTCAACTCTGCAGCCCCTTCTTGCTATTCTGGCTCTAGCTGTGCATACAGATCCTTCTGTAACAAGCCCATCTTCACACAGTGTCCTAGAGTTATTCCACCCATGCCCATGGTGCCCCTGCATAGGAATGAGGAAGCTCCTTTAGGTGCACTGTAGGGACTATCCTGGGCACTGTGCCCACCCACTGGCAGAACCAAAATGAAAAGCCGATCCCCATCCACAAGAAAACACCAACATGGGAGACTGCATTCTGTAAGGTGGATGTAAGGGCCAGGCTGGTCCATAAGTGCTTGCCCTGAAGGGAAGGGAAGAAATGAAGATCCACCCAGAAGAAGAAAGCCTCAAGAATGCCCCATTTTCATGCTAAGGCTTGAGCCCTCCCACCCTGAAAACCCCCATCTGGAGCCAGACTGCAGAGTTCTCCATCTTATATGAGAGATAAAGTCCCCCCCGCCCCCAGCTATAGGGTACCCTTCAAAGTAAGTGGTGCACTGCCTGAGGAATGGGGCTCCAGAGGGAGGAAGTGACGCCTACCTGCACAGTCATCCTCAGAGAAGTATCTTGAGGAGCATTCAGAGATGTTATAGGTGACTTTGTCCAGGTGAGCAGCTGGTGAGAGGCATTTCCCACTTCTGGATTTTCTCCTCAGCGTCATAGGGGTTACCAAGCATGAGAAGCAAAGATAAGAGAGTGAAAAAGAAGAAGGGGGGAAAAGATAGGGAGAGGGGAAGGACAGGATTTGAATGAGACTTTCCTGGAGACTTCTGGGGTGAAAAGAAATGATACCCAGAGCCCTCTGTTCCTGTTCTTATTCCTTAAACAGATGAAGAGTTTTGTTTTTTTTTTGTTGTTGTTATTGTTTGTTTTTCTTTTGTTTTGTTTTGTTTTTAACTTTGGGTTCAGGATTCAAAAAAGCCAGAGGTACCCTGAGCCAAGGAGGGCCTCTTTCCAAATTAAACCACCATGATGAGGTATGAGAGGAGCTAAGAGTCAGCTAAATCTGTCTCGTCACTCACAGGCATTTCACCCAAGAGGCTCCCTGCGCTGTTGCTGGGCCATGCGGCTCGCTCTAAGAACCATGGGCCCTGGGGCTAGTTAAAAGAGAAACATGGCTGAGAGGGGTTGTCCATGCCCAGCTTCAGGCCTCAGTGTTCCAGGCCTTCTCTGAGACTCATGTTGACCCTCCCTAGTTCCTGTTCTCAGAGAGTGAAGGCATCAGCAACCCAGGTTATGGTAGAAGGGGAGAGATAGTGCTAAGGACAGGAAATTCTCACCTTTGTGGGAAAAGAAAGCAAAAGAGTGATGTCTCCACTCAAAAATGGAGGCAGGAAAGAAATGCACACATGGCAGCGGCAGAAGCCCTTGGTTGCCATGGGCAGTTGTGATGGAGAAGGTGGCTTGGGCTCCCTCTGGCTCTTCTTACCTGAGGGAACTCTTCTTGAAGTTGGTGTGCTGGCCAGGCACCTGGGAACTACCTCCCTCTCTCCCTTGCATATTTGACCTCTTCTAGCTCCATCTTTTCTCCCAATTCCACCTTACGTAGATGTTCCATCTCTCTTCTCAGTAGATGACTGTGTAGGAAAAGGTGATCCCCTTCCCTTCCCAACTCTAAGACAAATTACAATCTTGGCTGTTCTTGCTGCTGTCATTGTCTTTTCCTGGCTCCTTCCTAAGAACAGGGGGAGGAGCAGAAGGGCTGGCCCCAAAGAGTCAAGAGAAGAAACTCGATGTCCCGTCTGCACGATGGGCAGATCCTTCCATTCCTCACCTCGAAACGCTGCTGTTAAGAAAGGGCTTTCCTCGGTTTTAGAAAGAACTGCAAGGTCCAGGTACTCACCAAGATGACAAAGCCTTTGGGAGTGCTGGTGATGTTTGCTGATTAGGTACAGGGCTTTGGGCACATGCTCCAAGGTGACAGCAATGAGGTGGAGCCCTGGGAGCCCTGAAATGCCCAGCACTTGCCAGGGTAGACATTTGGCTATGGGCAGAAGACAAATCACGTAAAAGGTGGTAGCACATGGAACAGATCTGGATCCTGGGGCCCCCTTGCCTTGAGAGCCCAGCCCCCACAGATGAAGGAGGAGACGGCAGACAGAGAGCCAACCTGGGGGACCTCTGTTCAGCCCTACCTGGTGGATGGCTCTTTGGATCTGGAAATGGTACCACAAGGTTATGCCAAACAGACTGATAACAGACATCCTGGTGCCATAGGTCTCTAAGCTTTGGCTACTGAGGATGCTGGCCCCTGAAAAGAGAAACAGGGAGAGGAGTTAGGGGGCATTCAAGGTCTTGGATGACACAGATATGGCTTAGGGCAGCCTTCAAGGCAAGGGGGTGCTGCCAGGGCATCTGCCCTCCTACCTGTGCCACCCATTAAGGGCATCCCAATTTGTCAATTCCTCCTGTCTCATAACGGCTATGCTGATTTTTCCATCCCTCTTGTCCCAAGCCTGCTGGCTTTCTGCAGGCCTCCTACCTGAGGACTCCAGGGCATAATCCACCAGTTCAATGTGATCTTCACTGTAGAGTTTCAGGGCCTGCTGCATGATCTTATGCACTTCCTAAAAGATAGGCATTCATGACTCATGGGCCAGGCCACCTGTAGGGGAAGGGCAAGCACGCTAACTGGTGGGCCTTGGCTTCCCTCTCCCTCCTGGCAGTCTCCTCTCAGGGCGAACCCATGACCTAGCCAGGAGGATGGGCAGAGGGACCAGGTTCAACTCCTTTGTCACTCCTTCCTTTAGAAAGGTCAGCCTGAAGATGGCAGCAGCTTTGCTAGCATACTTGTCCTGCTCCTCTGCCAACTGAGTCAGGATTCCTTGCTCCAGGTCCTAAAGCTGGGCCTGTTCCTCCTCTAGCTGTACAAGCCTGGCCTGAGTGCCCTTGTCTGCAATAAGTAATTGGTGGATCAAGGCCGGGATCTGAGATTCCATCTAGAAGCCACCAGAGGAAAGAGCTCAGCAAACACCTGAGAAACTGAGGAAGGAAGAGGGTCTGGACAGGAGACCTGGGATGCCTAGAGACACTCTGAGAGCTCAGGGCCAGCACATGCCTGCCTGGTGCCAGAGAAGGGATGGTTGTGAACCAAATGACTGGCATTTCTCCACTGCTTTTGAGGTCTGCAGAAAGGATCTCATTGGACCTTCTGGGACATGATATTATCCCACTTGACAGATGAGGAAAATCTCATCCATGTCACAAAGTCCACCCAATAGGCTCAATCTTTAGGAAGTGTCCAGTGGAAACCTCAGATGGTTGCAGCTCCCTGGGCAGATGTCTGGGCAGCAGCAGCCCAGCTGAGATCAAGGGGCATGCATTGCTTAACCAGGGGACTGGAGGACTCACGTCACTGCACAGGGCCACCATCTTTTCTTGCCAAAGGTGTATTTCTTTGGCCACTGCAGCTTGTCTTTGGCTGACAGCCGCCAGCTCCTGCCTCAGGCCAGCCAGCTGGGCCTCCAGGGAACCCATCTCCTTTGGCCTTTTCTCCTGGGAGTCTTCTTGGGACAAACTAGCCAGTGACAAAAGGAAAAATCAAGGTCAACCTTGGCACAGGCACTGGAGGACAGACTCAAACAGAGGCCAGGAAATGGAACAGTGTCACCTGAAGAAAAGCACCACCCAGTGTAAAGGACAGAGCCAGAGAACAGGCTGCAAGACTTTACTGACATTTCCTCCCTGCGGCACCCTGGGTAGGTCATTTCCCTCTGAGGCCTCAGTAACCTCATCTGCTCTCTGAGGTCCTCACTAGCTCGGATCAATCCTATGGACGTGTTAACCCCAGTGTTCTGCCTCCAGTGACCCCCCTTCCACCTGAGGGAATCTCAGTCGTGCCCATCAATTGGGGAATGGCTGAATAGGTTGTGGTGTATGAATGTGATGGAATAGTATTGTGCTATAAGAAATGATGAGCAGGTGGACTTCAGAAAAACCTGGAAAGACTTGTATGGACTGATGCTGAGGGAAATGAGCAGAACCAAGAAAACATTGTATACAGTAACAGCCACACTGTGTGATGACTGACTTTGATATACTTGGCTCCTCTCAGCAATGCAAGGATCTAAGACAACTCCAAAAGACTCATGATGGAAAATACTATCCACATCCAGAAAAAGAACAATGGAGTCTGAATGCAGATGGAAGCATACTATTTGATCTCCTTTTACTTCGTTGTTTTGTTGTATTTCTTCATTCTCATGGTTCCTCCCATTAGTTCTAATTGCACTTGACATCATGACTAATGGGAATATATGCTGAATACGGACATATAACTAGAGCCTATATCAGAATGCACACCATTTTTCGAAGAGGGGAGAGGTAAGGGGGCAATTTAAAACTCAAAATCTTATGGAAATGAATCTTGAAAACTATCAATTAATTTATTATTATTATTAATTAGAAGAAGAAATGTGACCAAAATTAAATTGTGTGGCTTATGAAAAATAGAAAAGTAATTTCTTTAAAAATGGTGGAACACAGAGCCAAGATACAAGGCAAGCTGACACCAATCCTACCAGGAAGGAACAAAAAAGACAAAAGGACCTGCTGATTTTCTCACCATCAGATGTCTGTGGCTCTTTCTCCAGTAGATACAGAGTTAAAGGATATGAACAGGCATTTTTCCAAAGAAGAAATACAAGGGATCAACGACCAAATGAAAATAGAAAATATCCAAATCACAAATAAATAGAGAAATGCCCATGAAGGCAACTCTAAGGTTCTACCTTCTACCTTTCAGGGTGGCAAAGAGGACAAAGAGGTAAAATTAGCCATGTTGGAGGAGCAGTGACAAATCAGGAAGGTTCGTCTAGGGCAGCAATGGGGTGCCAGACTGCAGAGTTCTGGGCCTCGTCTCAGACAATCAACCAGACTTTGTTCCAGAGGGAGATGGAAAGGCATTCCTTCTCTTCAGAGTGTGGCATCAAGAATGAGACCCGGGCTGGAGAAAGCCCTTCCAGGTAGCCTCCAGTGTGGAGTTCTCCAGCCATTCACTGCTGATGTTTTTAATGGGGCTAAGAATGGGAGGGACATTGTCATCTCCTTCACTCCTTTCTCTCTTTCTAGTCCGCCCCTTCCCCAGAAAAAGGAAGGACAAAGGGGCTTAACTTTAACCAGCAGATTGGAGGGCTGCAGATTGGCCTTATGCCCGCCCCTCAGACATTCTTACCTTCTTCCTTCCTCACCCCAGCTCTGCAGCCTCACAGAGAGTCCACCCTCCCATCCTTGGGGTAGCTCATCCCTTGGAGTTGGCTTTGGGCAGCCTGGAGAATTCCATGCATCTCTCATTTGGCCTAGAAGTGGGGCCTTAGCTTGCTCAGGATCATTTAATGAAGCCCCTTGTTGTCTAGGGGTGTCCCTTCCCATGTGGGTGGAGCAGCTGCTCCACCTCTTCCCTCTAAACCCAGCAGCCCTTCCATCCTGCCCACCCTGCCCCTGTTGTGGCTCCTACTGGAGCTGATTTGGAGGTTATACCAAGGGTGAGGATGTCCCCAGAACCTTGAAACTGGCTGTTGAGGGAGGGAGTGGGAAGGGCCCTCCAACAGTCAGGAGGGCCTTCTTTGCCTCAGAGATGCCCAGAGGGTCAAAGCCAACTAATATTTGTTATTATTATTATTTCCATGTTTTCACATTTGTTTTGAAAACTTTGAGTTCCAAAGTCTTTCCTTTTCTCCTTCCCCATCCCCTTTCCTTTTCTCTCCTTCCCCATCCCCACCCCCTCATTGAGAAGGCAAGCAATTCCATATAGATTATATATTTGTAGTCATACAAACATATCCATAATGCTATGTTGTGAAAGAAAACATAGACAAAAAGACTCAAGAAAAATAAAGTGAAAAAAAAGTTGCTTCTGTCTATTTTCAGACACCATCAGTTGTTTCTCTGAGAATGGATAGTATTTTTCATCCTAAGTCCTTCAGAGCTGTCATGAACCCTTGTATTGCTGAGAAGAGCCAAGTCATTCAGAGTTCATCATCTTACAATATTGCTATTATTTTGTACTTAGTACATTTCACTTTGTAACAACCCACCTAAGTCTTTCTAGCTTTTTTTGGAGAGCATCTTGCTCATTGTTTCTTATAGTATAAGAGTTTTCCAACATAATTACCTACCACAACTTATGTAGCCACTCCACAACTGATGTGCATCCCCTCCACTTCTAATTCTTTAATCCCCAGAAAGGATCTGCTATAAATATTTTTGTACATATAGGTCATTTTCCTTTTTCTTTTCTATCTCTTTGATCATACAGATCTAGGAGTGGTATTGCTATGTCAAATATGGTATATTCTAAGCATGGTTTCATAGCTCTTTGTCATAGTTACAATCACTCTATACAATATTTAATCAATTCACAACTCTAACAACAGTATGTTAATGTCTCCTTTTTCCTTACCTTTCTGTCCTATTATCTAATCTTATAGGTATGAGATAGGGCCTCAGAATTATTTTGACTTGCATTTCTCCAATCAACAGTGAGGTAATTTTTTAAAATATGGCTATAGATAGCTTTAATCATTTAATCTAAAAATTGATTATATCTTTTGATCATGTATCAATTTTGGAATGGCTCTTATTTTTTTTTATAAATTTGACACTTTTCTACATGTTAGAGAAATTAGATCTTTATCAGAGAAAGGTGCTTTAATTTTTCTTCACACTTACTGTTGCTGACTGTATTTCCCTCCATTCCTATGCCCTTACCCTTATTTATTCTATTTTCTCTCTCCTTTCACCTTGTCCCCCCTCAAAAGTGTTTTGCTTCTGATTACTCCTTCTCCCAGTCTGCCTTCCCTTCTATCACACCCCTTCTCTTATCCCCTTCCCCTTCTATTTTCCTGTAAGGTAAGATAGATTACTACACCCCATTCCCTGTGTGTCTTCTTTCTCAGTTACATGTAAAAACAATTTTCCTTTTTAAAAATTTTGAGTTCCAAATTTTTCACTTCCTTAATCCCCACCTACTCTCATTGAGAAGGGAAGTAATTCAATATAATTTATACTGCTGTATTCATGTAAAAATATTCATGTGGTGAAAGACTGACTGTATTTCCCTCCATACTATCCTGCCCCCCCGTTTACTCCATTCTCTCCTTTCACCCTGTCCCTCCTCAAAATTGTTTGCTTTTGACTAGCCCCTATTCGTGAATCTATTGGAGTTGTCTTAGATTCTTACATTGCTGTGAAAAGCCGAAGTCTATCAAAGTCAGTCATCTCATAATGTGATGTGAGAGGATGCCCATAAATTGGGTAATAGTTGAACAAGTTGTGGTATATGAATGTAATGGGAAGAAATATAAGAAATGATGACATCTACAAAAGTGTCATGATGGAAAATGTTATCCATATCCAGAGAAAGAACTATGGAGTTGGAACACAGATCAAAGCATACTATTTTGTTTTGTTTCTTCTTTCTTTGGTTCCTCCTATTGGTTCTAATTCTTCTTTACAACATGACTAATGTGAAAATATGTAATAGGATTGTATATGTAAAGCCTATATCAGATTTCATGCCATCTAGGGAAGAGAGGCAGGGAGGAAGGGGAGAATATTTGAAACTCAAAAGCATATGGAAGTGAATGTTGAAAACTAAAAATAAATCAATAATTTTTAAAAAGGAGGGAAAAAGAAAAACAAGAATTGCCTACCTAGCAAAACTGAGTGTAATCAATGAGGGGAAAAAATTCACATTCAATGAAATAGATGAATTTAATGCATTCTTGAATAAAAAAACAGAGTTAAACAGAAAAAAAATGATTTTCAAATACAAGGCTGAAGAGAAGCATGAAAAGGTAACAGGAATGAAAAATCTTAAGAGACTTATTAAAGTGGAACTGTTTACATTCCTACATGGAAGGATTATATTTGTAACTCATGAGACCTTGTTTATGATCAGGGTAGTTGGAGGGAATAGAGAGAGAGAGCACGGGGTGAGTTGAATATGAAGGAAGATATCTAAAATATAACATTAAGGGGTGAGAGCAGAATGTACTGGGAGAAGGAAAAATGGAGAGTTAGGATGGGGTAAATTATCTCCCATAAAAGAGGCAAGAAAAAGCTGTTTAAGTGGAGGGGAGAGGGGGGAGATGAGAGAGAAGGAGTGAACCTTACTCTCATTGGATTTAGCTTAAGGAGAGAATACTGTACATACTCAATTGGGTATGGAAATCTATCTTATCCTATAGCAGGAAAGTAGCTGGGGCAGGGGAGAATAAGAAAGGGAGGGGAGATTGTAGAAGAGAGTGGTTAGAAGCAAAAATACTTTTGAAGGGACAGGGTCAAAAGAGAGAACAGAATTAACATGGGGAAGGTCAGAATGGAGGGAAATAATGTTAGTCTTTCACAATGTGACTATTGTGAAAGTGTTTTACATGACTACACACGTACAACCTGTATTAAATTGTTGCTTTCTCAATGAAGGTAGATGGGAGGGAGGGAGAGAATTTAGAACTTAAAGTTTTAAAACAAATGTTAAAATTTGCTTTTACATGTAATTGAGAAGTAAGATACACAGGCAAAGGCGTATAGAAATCTGTCTTACTCTACAGGAAAAGAGAAGGGAAGAGGATAAGAGTGATAGTAGGGAGGACAGATTAGGGGAAGGGTAATCAGAAAAATCTTGTGGAATTGAACATTGAAAACTAAAAAGAAACAAAATGTTTTGCTTAAAAAAAGGATTAAGAGCAAAAGGACCCACGTGTAAAAATATATCTGAAGATATATTTACATATCAGGTACAGGCCTTGGAAACCTGAATCAGGAGTGGCAGTGGCAGCAACTGCTTCCAGAGCTTTCAGCCCACAAATGGTAAGGGAGTCTTTTCTGGGTATAATGAGT